GGGTAGTGTGGGGGGTAGGCATATGGGTTGGGGGTGGGGTGGTGGTGTAGTAGGCTTGAGCATGGTAAGGGAGGGGGGTAGACATGGGTCGTGGGCCCAATAAGCCCGGGTTTTGATTCGGGTAAGGTGAGTTCCAAGCGTTGGGGCCGTCAAGATAGGTCCATTGTCTCGAGCTGCTTTGTCGTCCACGACCTCTACCCCAAGAGCCGTTGCCTCGCCCACCGCCGCGTACATAGCCGTTGCGCTGTCCGAAGGAGCCGCTCTCACCGTAACTGCCGCCGTGTTGGAGCCCGCCGCCATGGAAGCCGCCGCTGCCACTGCCGCCGTGCTGGGAGCCCCTGCAGCTGCCACTAGAGGACTGCCGACCGCCACCGTTACCACCGGGTCGTCCGGCGAGGAGAGCCGTGCCACCCGCTTCGGCCATGGGAGAGCGTTGTCGGTCCAATAACATAAGGGCGGAACGGGCTTGGAGAAAAGTGGGCAGCGGGTCTTGAAATTGAAGAAAAGACGTCTGGGCTAGCAAATCTGCGGGGAGACCACGAAGCATCTGAAGAACCAGTTGATGTTGGGACATCGGGTCAACAACATCGTTCAGCCAATCGGTGAGATTTTGCAGATGCTGACAATAGGCCGCCATAGTGGTGTTGCCTTTGACGGTGGTGCAGAACTCATGCTCTAGTTGCATGGCACGAGCATTCTTGTTGCCGTGAAACAGATCATGAATAACTTTCCAAAGAGCAGAAGCGGTGGAGACAGAGGAGATAACCAGATCTGAGACTTCGTCGGAGATGGTGGACAAGATCCATCCCTGGAGGAGAGCGTCAAGTTGGAGCCACTCATCATTGTCTTCAGAGAGAGGGACGATGGAGCCATATATGTAGCCTTGGAGATTGAATCGGCGAACCAAGAGGAGAAAAAGGCAACTCCACTTTTTGTAGTTCGGTTGAGAGAGGCTGAGAAGAACCGGAACATGACGTTTGAGATCGTCGTAAAAGCAAGATGAGGGGTTTTTGCCGGAGTGGTGTTGGAGGTAACCTCGCTTTCGGCCATTGGAGAGAAGAGAACCGGAGAGAGCGGGGGGATTGCCGCCGCTGGAGGACTGCCGACGACGAAGAAGGGACGGCGGGGCGGCGCTGAAATTGCCGAGAGGGAGAGAGAGGGAGCCGAGAGGTAGGGTTAGGGTTTTGCTTTTTTTGTTTAATTAGGCTCTGATACCATGAAGAATAATGATTTTCATTGATTAATTGAGTTGTGATTACATGTGTATATATAAGAGGAGTCTCAATCCTAAACAAGGTAGGAGAGACACAAGGAAGGAAACCTATACAAATAAGGTAAGGGAATAATACAATATATTAAATATATACAATATATTTAACACTTTTGAAGAGAAAACCGTACACATGGAGAGAAAATGCATGAAATGACATGTTTGCCCTTTGCCTCTTTTCTAATTTACGAAGTACACCTTTTTTTTCTTTAACTTTTTTGCCTTTTTTTTCTTTAACTTTTTTGTTGCTTTATGATAGGGGCATAAATGTCTTTTGGCTTAATCATATTTTCTTTCCTCATCTCATTTTCTCTTCTTTTTTACCTATCCAAACAATAATTATTTTCTTTTCATTTTCTCTCCAATTTCTTTCCTCTCATTTTCTTTCATTTCATTTTCCTTCCTCTCATTTTTCCTTCCAAATCCAAACAAAGCCTTAATGTTAAACTTTGTAATTCATTAAAAAAAGACCCAAAATTAAATTGTACCTATCCCATTCCTTAAGCGTATAGTAATGGCCGGTGCATGCATGTGCATAGGTATTCAAGGCATGGTATAGGTTCCACCATATTCTATCATTGTTTCCGACAATAAGTCACGAGTTACCCTTCCTTGGGTCAAAAAGCCCTAATAACTTTCGTTATCCAATTTGGAGATAGTAATCCTCTACTCCCCCTCTAGGTATAGAGACCCTTACGATTCTTTTTCAATTATTTTACTCCGTATCAATTATGGCCTCATTTTGCAAAACTATTACAGTTTAGCACTAACATTTTAAAAATATTACTCCCTCCGTCCCCCTGTATTTGTCCACTTTCATTTTTACACACCATTCAATACACTTCTTTAATCCATTTTATCTTGTAATTTGTATATTAAAAAATTATAAAAATTATATATTAATAATCTATATGTTAAGACAAATCAAACAAGATCATACATGACTATATTTAGGCTTACACATTGAGAGAATTTGATGAGTCAAAGTGCTTAGATGAACAGTTTCAAAAGTCAAATATGAATAAATACAGGGGGACGGAGGGAGTATTTAATACGAGTAATAGAATTTAGTGTTAGATTATTCTATATATATTAATCTATGTGAAAAATTGTGTGAATATTAACATATAATACCCGATATATATCAAATTGTAATTATGTCTGACCCACGTTTCAAAATTGAAAATTACGAAACTGTTATGACATATTACTATAGTTGTTTTTTTGGATGACTCTAATTGTTATATATATATATATATATATATATATATATATATATATATATATATATATATATATATATATATATATATATATATATATATACACACACACACACACACA